TTGGGGAAGAAGGGATGGCCTCTGACCAGGACAGATAAGTGCAAGCCTCCCAATGGCCTTTAATATGGGTAGAGAAAACTCTCCTGTGTTTGGCTGTACTGGCTTGAGAAAGCTCGCCACCTGGTAAGACGGCTGTGCATCTGTTGAGCTGGGAGTGGTCTGCATGAGGCTGAGGTTCTCCTATTCAATCCTGATGTCCCACGCCTGTAAGCCCACCCTATCCTGTCTTCCTGTTTACTTGCTGGTATATAAGTGCACCTTAGTCCCCAATACAATTGAGCTAGATTGACTCTCTGACCCTCTCTCTCCCGGAGTGGTGTGTCTCTGTCATGCTTGCCCCATCAGGGTGTGGTGCTGAAAGTTGCTGGTGAATAGATAGCAACAAGGGCCCTTTTATTTAAATGTTGATTGGGCCCTAGTGTTATTATTTTGGAGAAACATTCTTCTAAGTTGTACAGCACTCTTCTGGGTTTGTTGTGAAACTGAACCTTGCATCATTGGGGGTCAAATGCCATAACGGCTGCCAGTGGTGGATGGTGTTTGGAGGAGCTCTCAGTTTAAGAACCATTTGGAAGTAGGAGGGGCATCCACTTCCTAAACAACATGCCTCGGGAAACTCTGTGAACCTGGGAAAGGGGCAATAGTTATAGAAAGGCTTCAGGCTTTTGATTGATAGGATTGCTATGAGTCATGCCCAACTCGACGGCAATCAACAACAACATACTATACTATAGTGTGAGAGAGATGTTAAGCTGAAGGTGAAATAGCCAGTCATACCCAAGAATCGATGGGATACCAATTGACTTGTTCCAATTAACAGATGCAGTCTTGGATGTGCTTACTAGTCTATACTAGGAAATTTGGAGGATGGCTTTCTGGCCAATGGATTGGAAGAGTTCCATATTTGTTTCCATTCCCAAGAAAGGTGATCCAACTGAATGTGGAAACTATAAAACAATATCATTAACATCACATGCAAGCAAAATATTGCTGAAGATCATCCCAAAATGGCTAGAACAATACATACATAGGGAACTGCCAGAAGTACAAGCAGAATTTAGAAGAGGCCATGGCACCAGGGATATCATTGTTGATGCCAGATGGATCCTGGCTGAAAGTAGAAAATAATAGTGAATTTGTGCTTTATTAACTATGCAAAGACATTTGACTGTGTGGATCATAACAAGTTGTGGATGACATCGAGAAAAATGAGACTCCCAGGGCACTTAATTGTGCTCATGTGGAACCTATACCTGGACCTGAAGGCTGTTTTGCAAACAGAGCAGGGGAACACTGCATGATTTAAAACTGAGAAGAGAGTGTGCGAGGGTTGTATTCTCTCTCCTTACCTATTCAATCTGTGTGCTGAGCAAATTATCCAAGAAACTGTACTCTGTGAAGAGGAGTGTGACATCAGGATTGGAAGTAGACATCTCAATAACCTGTGTTAGGCAGATGACATCAATTTTCTTGCTGAAAGTAAAGAGGACTTGAAGCTCTTGTTGCAGAAGATCAAGAAATGCAGCCTTTGGTGTGGATTGTCTCTCAATGTCAAGAAAACAAAGATTCTTACCACTGTACTGATAGACAGAGTCATGATGGATGGAGAGGAGACTGAAACTGTCAACAGCGTCATCTTGCTTGGATCCACAATTAACACCCTTGGTATCAGCAGTTAGAAAGGAAGGAGACACATTGCACTGGGAAAATCTGGAGTCAAGGACCTCTTCAATTTATTGAGGAGTGATGTTATCAGTTTGAGGACTAAGGTGTGTTTGATTCAGGCCATACGTAGTCTTCCCTATTATTTGTTATGCATCTGAGAGTTGGACAATGAATAAGGATGATGGAAAAAGAATTGATGCCTTTGAACTGTGGTGTTAGAGAAGAGCACTGGCCATGCCTTGGACGGCCAAGAGAACAGATATGTCTTGGAGAGAGCAGCCAGAGCGTCCTTTGGAGGCAAGAATGATGAGGCTTCACCTTACATACTTTGGACATATTGCTAAGAGGGGCTGTTCCTTGGAGAGGGACATGATGCTGGGAAGGGTGGAGGGTAGACAAAGGAGAAGAAGACCCTCAACCAGGTGGACTGACACAGTCACTGCTGCAATGGGGTCTTGTGTATCAGAAAGTGTGAGGATGGCACAGGACAGAGCAGGGTTAAGATCTCTTGTTCATAGGGTCATTATAAGTCATACTTGACTCGACGGTATGCAACAACAACCACCTTTTACCCAAAGCATGGACAACATTGAACAGAGCCAGTCATTCACACAGGATTACTGCAGGTAGCTTTTCAGAATTAACTTTAGGTTTATTAATTTAAAAATCTGGTATTATAGTGACTACATAAATAAGTACCATGTGGAGGTACATGTCCTGTGAGAGGAGTGAGAGGGTAATACTGTTACTTTACTCTTACTTGTTTACAAGAATTAACTCTAAAATGGCTATAACTGCTAAATGGTGTTTATGGTCTTTGTTGTCCCAAGTTCTTATGATACAAATAAATACACCAGAAGAATCACATCCATTCTTTTCTACATACTACAGGCAGTTTGGCCTCTTTTCCCTATGTACTACTCCCTAAGCAACACAAAACACTGGGGAGGGGGGTCTACATTGACTTATCATAGCTTTCCAGCTCCTGCTTCCAGCAGCACTTTGTAAAGGTGTGTCCCAGGACCTAGAGTGGGGAGTCTATCTAGGGGAGCTCTCTGGGTGTTTCTTTAAGCTTGAGCTTTTAGAGAACACCTGGGTGGGAAGGTTTTGTGATTAGTCATTCATTGTGAAGGGGAATCACCACTTCCCTTCAGGATTCAGTGACTAGTCTTCATACCATAGAAATACTGCCACCTCGGGACGGGGAGGCAACAGTAGCTTAACACACCCCTTCCCAGACTCCCCAACTAATGTTCTGTAGCCTTTCAGCTCAGGATGCTCGACCTCCTTCTCCTGAGCAGAGTGTGTGTGATGGGCTGAGAGGAGGCATGTACCATAAACAAGGTAAAGGGAACATCTTTCTTTTTGTCAGATAGCCATAAAGATTGGACCTTTTAGGGGTTTCCATGATGGTGTAAAAACCACTAAGTTCTCATTTATTGTGATAAGACAAAGTATATAGGATTTTGAGATCCTAAATATTTTTTCTAAGTATGGCATCCACTTTCTAAACAACATGCCTCCGGAAATACTATGAACTTTGATAAATGTCGATAGTTATAGAAAGGCTTCAGGCCTTTTTTCATAGGGTCACTATGAGTCGTGCTCGACTCAAAGGCTATCAACAACATAATAATAACATTCACTAAAGTTCTTTAATGTCCCTTAGAGGGAACCTGTCTACAGGAGATCCTCGCTGTGGAGAACTGGTACATTTCTCACAAAGATATTTTCTAAAGTTAGACTTCAGATTGGCTAATTTATGCTGTGGAGACTGTGAACAGACAATGTAGGAGCCACCTTCTCTAGCGTTTGTGATTAAAATACATGCTTGGTCATTTAGGGATAGGGAATAGAGAAGTTCAACGAAAAGATCTTTATTAGAGTTCATAGCTCCTCAAATGAATACTACTTCTGACGATCCAAAAGACAGAAGTCATTAGAACTGAGCCACTTTGCAAAGTGAAAGGCAACCCCTGTTCTTGCAGAAGCGAAAGGAACTTCTAGTAGATACCAATTCAACCTAAATTTTCTAGCCATAGAACTATGACATCAGGGAAAATCAGTTCCTACTGCGCTATTAATTGGTGAATATACGGATGTGGGGAGAAAAGGGTGGTTTTGTCGACTTTTTTCACTCCTTTCTTCTCTTCAATTCATATTTTAAAAACGCATCTAAGTTCTAACTTCTCTATGGAGTCCCCTTAGATGTTCTTCTTTGTCTGCCTGTCATTACAGTTGGGGATTTCAAACACCACACACAAATTATCTTATTTTTCTGGGAATCAAGCTCCCCCAAAATATTTAGGAACCAGATAAGGGAGGGAAAGAATGGCACAATCCAGGCTCATTTTAACTTAGAATGGTGTCATTTAGTGTCTCTCTCTCTCTCTCTCTTTCTCTCTGTGTGTGTGTGTGTGTGTTTAAAATAGAGATTAATCTTTTCTTTAAAAAATCCCACAAAGTATCATTTCATACAAATAATCACTCTCTACTCTAGAGATCCTATTAAACCGTTCCTTTCTCTATTTTTCATTTGGATAACTTTCTAGATGGAAACCCCAGGGTTCTCTTTGCTCTTTGACCTATAAAGAGATGTGATTCTCGAAGAAACTAGAGCAGTGCTGTGGTGTTCTATCCCTCTTCCTCTCATAAAAAAAAAATATCAAGACTCTTCTAGTCTCTTTGGAGGAGATGTTTAAGGGCTGACACACCACCTCTCATAAAGGAGCAAGTTATGCTGGGCATGGCATGAATAATTGACTGCATTTGAGTTTGGGATTTTAGGGCACTGTTGACTTAAGCAAAATAAGCCTGCAGTCCAGCTGCAGCTTGAGTTTTCTTGCTTTACCCTATCCACTTATGTCTGTCTTGTCTAACAGTGGCCCTTTTCAGACCTCTCCAAGTATAAAACTTTCACCAAATCTTCAAGCTCTGTTCTGCACACACGGCTTGAACACATCTGGCTGATCTGGGCTTCTCCTTCAGTGAAGATCTTCCATTGGCCTGAAAGACAAACAGAAAGTGGCCAGAAGAGTGTAAGAGGAGTGCAGGGCAAATAAAGAACAAAAAAAAAATGCCCCATCCTTACCCACTCACTCACCATTCAGGGAGTTTGGAACATGAATGTCAGAGCAGTTGTTTTTTATAAAGAAAATAGAAACATAGAAATGAAAACTTTTCTCAGGCAGATAAGAGAAGTGGGCCACGGAGTTTTCATTTCAACACATAGTGTTGGTAAGAAACCCAAGAATATGCAATTTCTTCCTCAAGAGTAAAATCTCAGTATTGTGCCTGGAGTTCTTACAGTATATTCAGCATTTGCAAAATGCTCTACTGTAAGTTTGTTGGCTACTTAGGCAGTTCATGTGATAATCAGTCTAACAAGACATTCTGGAAAGAGAACTTCGTGCATTAGTGGGATTTTGCTAAACTTTAGGACACCCCCCCCCCAGATAATTGTTTGGCTTACTTATTATGTACTGTTTTCTCTGTTCCTACCACCTATCATAATTACAAAAATAAAAGAACAGCAGCTTCTCACTTTCTTCTATGTAATACTGCTCTTTAACATCCTTAATTTTATTACCATGGTTCTATATATTGTCTCATTTGCCAATCTCTCATGTGATCCACTGTAAATGTAGCTGTATCCCCTCCATCCCCTGTTCTTTCTGGTCACATCACCTTCCATTCCCTAGTTTTTCTGTTCTGTCCATGGAAATGTCTAATATCAACGTTTTCTTCTCAACTTCTCTAGTTGCTCATTCTACCATATTAACAGAGCACTTTATAGTGCATGTTCTGTCCTGAACACTGGAAGTTCTTCCCCCCACCCCCTTTAGACGGTCCCTTTTCTAAATTCCTTGTTCCCTGAGTGGATAAGATGTTCCCTCTCTGGTTATCATCTTGCTCTGTCAACTAACATTCCTAACAAACCACCAACACCAGACACCTCATCTTTATTGCTGCTCTCATGGTGCTACAATATGGGGAGCTCCTAGTTAAAGGAGTTTTTCTAATCGACTGGCTCAGGATAGGGCAAGGTTCAGAGCTATTGCACATAGGGTCTCCATAAGCCTCAGGTGATTTGGTGGCACATAACAACAACCTATCCAAAGCCTCTTTTCCTAGCCACATGGAAACATGATATCCTTCCCTATGGACTTATTACGTTTCTCCTTGGATTCTTCACTTTCCCTTGTTCTTTTTTGGCCTAATTAGAAAGGAGATGTGGAAAAAAGAGGAAAGGGTCAGGCAAAGAGCCAGGGGCTTTCACTAAATACCTACTATGTGCCAGGCTCACAAAAACACACTATAGAAAGAAAGCTTGCTCTTCGTGTTCAGACGAACCTGCAGCATCACCTTATCTTTACTCACTTCTTAGAGCTGCACACAGTTTGTGGTATACCTCAGATTGTGACTGCTATGGGCAGGGAGGATGTCTGAACAATTTTTCCATCATGATGCCAAGCATAGTGCCTCATTCACAGCATGGATAAAAAATTAATCATTGATTTCAAAAGCCACATTATTGATGCTGGGATCCGAGCTGTGCCTCATTTAATCCTTACACACACGTAAGGACTCTCCTCTTCACCTGCATTCTCATGCCATACAGTTTCTTTTTGATCCATCTACCACAGAAGAGAAGCAGCTGACCACGTCCCTCAACCCTAAAGACATCATGGGTGATAAGGTCAGTGAACAAGAGAAGAACCTTCACTGAAATGGATTGACAATGGCAGCAACAATGAGCTTATGCACAGCAGAAATTTTGGAGCTGGCCCAGAATTTCACTCTGTTGTACTTGAGATCGCTCTGTGTTGGAACTGACTGTGCAGCGCTGCTAAGCAACAATAACATTGTAAATCTCTGCTCAAGTGACCCTTAAGCATCTTAAATTAAACATGTTTGAATTGAAACACATTGTTGTGGGTTTCTCCCCCTAATATCTGCTTATCTTTCAGGTTGCCCGTTGGTAAGTAGTATTAATATTTGTTGTTGCTATGTGCCATCGAGTCGACTATGGCTCATAGCAACTTTATGAACAAGATCTCTGAACCCTGTTTTATCCTGAGCCAGTCTCACTGTCTCCGACACACCTACCCTCATTACCCCATTTACTGCATCAACCCATCTCATCTGGGGTCTTCCTCTCCTGTGTTGTCCCTCCACTCTTCCAAACACAATGTCCTTCTCCAAAGACTGGTTCCACTTGGTCACATGCCCAAAGTGTGTGAGATAGAGCTTCAAAATCCTTGCTTCCAAGGACCAGCCTGATTTTACCCTCTCCAGGATAATCCTCTTTGTCTTCTTGGCAGTCTATGGTATGTTAAATACTCTTCTCAAGCACCACAGCTCAAAAGAATTAATTCTTCTATCATCCTTAGTCATTGTCCAGCTCTCTGACACATAGCAAATAATTGCAAAAAGACCATGGCCTGGTTCAAGTGCACCTTACTTTCTAGACTGACCTCATGGCTCTTTAGCACTCTGGAGAGGTCCCTGACAGCAGATTTCTCTAATGCAATTCATCTTTTGATTTCCTGACTGCTGGAGCCAAAAGTATTGATTGTAGAGCCTACCAAGCAGAAGTTGCTAACAATCTCTGGTCCAGTGGTGAGAATCTTTGTTATCTTGATGTTGAACTTCAATTCACCTTGAAGACTACAGTCCTTGATCTTCTGCAGCAAGTGCTTCAAGTGCTCCTTCGTTTCAGCAAGCAAAGTTGTGTCATCTGCATAATGTAGGCTGTTGATGAGTCTTCCTCCAATCCTGATGCCACGTTCCTCCTCTTAAAACCCAGCCTCCTGATTGATCTGTTCTGCATATAGATTGAAAATGTGTGGAGATAGGACACATCCCTGACATACTCCTTTCATGATTGGGAACCATGCAGAGTTTCCTTACTCTGTTCCAATGACTGTTTCCTGGTCCAAGTAGAGGTTTTGCATGAGCACAACTGGGTGTTTATTTAGTTTATAAAGCTATTCATATTAGACTCAACCCAAAGGAAGGCAGTTTGAATCCACTAGTCACTCTGCGAGAAAAAAGGACAATCTCTTCTTATGCAATTCACAGCTTCTGAAAACCTACTGGAAGATCAGCTATGAGTTAGGACCAATTTAATGGCACACAAAAACAAGTGAATCTTGCAGACTAACCCTCAGAGAGGTCACTCATCTTTGTGTCACTGACTTAATATAATGCAAAAGCTTCCTAATTCAAACTGTTACTAGCTCTTTCACTAACAGTCCACCTTTCATTCTACACAGCCAGTAGCACTACTTGCTAAAAACCCAAATCTGAATAAATAATTCACTTCCTTAAGAAAATCCCGTGGGATTCTCTGGCCTAGGGATCAAGTTTGATTTGTTAGTACATTAGAATCTTCATAGTCTCACTTCATTAAAGTGTTGTTGATTACCTTTGAGTCAAGCACGACTCATAGGGACCCTATAAACAAAAGGCCTGAAGCCCTTCTACAACTCTCAACATTTATCAAAATTCATAGAATTTCCAGTGGCATGTTGTTTAGGAAGTGGACGCCACTCCAGCTTCCAAACCTGTCATAGTATGTTATTGCTGTTATGTGCTGTTGAGTCATTAAAGTTGGTGCTTAATAAATTCGCCCAGCAGACAAGAGCCTTTTTTCTCCCTCAAAGCACCATTTATAAAGCACTATGCTGTTTGTTTGTTTGTTAATATGCAGCAATTACTAATGCTTCTTGCCTTCCATTTAAACTTCTTGCTTGGTTCTTTCAGCCCCTCTGACTATTCCCTACCTATAACTCTTCTCAGCTTTCAATGCACCCTATGTGGCCTTTGTAATTGCTCTTAACCCCCACCCACCCACACCCACATTTCTTGTTTGGTCCTGTCTGAATATTCTCTTAGGCTGCACCCTCTCCCTGGACTGATTTCCTGACCTGTTGCCCAGTCACGCCCTTCTCTTTCAAAACACACTAAAACCTCACCTCCTCCCCGAAGCCTTCCCCGACTAAGCCCACCTGGCTCTCCTTTTATTGTTCTTTGCAGATTCCCCTGAGCACTTAGGTATTTAACTCTTCAGAATGATACGAAGTGTACTAATTCACACTAAAGGCATTTTCATGTTTTGTCTCGCCCATTACAATTACCTGTGGATAGAGATTGTGCCTTTTATTCCTTCAGAAGTCTCCTCTGTCCCCTAATGCTTACTGGTATCTAGTCTCTAGGCTCCATCTAGCGTATAAGGTGGGAGAGCCGCAAGCATGTTTGATTGAAAGCTTTATTTTCCCTCCCCCCCAAATGTTTTTTACATATTTTTTTAAGAAACATGGCTAAGTAGATGCAGATCCAAAAAGAGCAAAGCAGAGCTTTGATAAAACAAGTTAATTGACATGCATTCATTTTCTATCTGCCTCTCACCTGCATCTCCAAAGGACTTGAACTAAAAGGTCTTTTCCTGGTGTAAAGTTTGTACTAGACCTGGAATCTTGGGAGCTTTTATCAATCTTCTTGAGGCTCAGAATTTACCAATTTTATTAATGACATCCAGTAAATATGGTGGTTTTCCTGTCGCTGGGATGCTGTGAAAATATGCCACCAGTATTGCAAATACCAACAGGTGGTCAGGTTTCAACAGAGCTTCCAGAGTAAGATAGACTAAGAAACATGACTGGCCATCTGCTTCTGAAACAACAGGCCTGAGTAGTTTATGCTCAGATTATAATCTAAATTTGTATTCATCATGTTCAAGGTTTCCATACTATATGTAGACACTCCAATTACTGCCCTGGTAAGTCACCCAGGACAGTGTTAACTCATCTGCTTATATTGATCTTGAACATTGAAAATGGAAAGGTCTTTATTCAGAGATTTGTCTACATTCAAAACTGGATGTGATTTCCAGGGTGGATTTGAGGGGTGGGGAATAAAATTAATTAAGTACCACTTACTTAAGGTTGTCCTGGTCACCAGCTTGAAGTGATGGAGCTCCTCAAACATCCTCTTGGAGATCTTCTCAATATGGAATTGCTGGAGGATGCCTAGAGCCAAGACAAAAATGGAGCAGGTGGTCAGGAACTCTCTTATCTAGAAACATCAACTCTTTCTCTCTGTTTGGGCTGAGCATATCATCTCATTATTGGGGCTTAGGAGTATCGAGCTGGGCTGTGTAATGTGCTTAACCAGGAACTTGGATGGCTCAATGGCTGTAATTGACTCCATTTGTTTCCTTGGCTCAATGGCCTCCCCTTGGCTTTTCCAGACGATGAAGATAAGGGAGATAATGCTGTTGACCATAGGACCTCTCTTAGGGAAAGCCACATGGAATCAAGCATGGGTGCTAGCTGGAGCTTCTACAGCCAAAAGCAGTATTAGAAATTCTGCCCTTGCCTCAAGTCTGGATAGACTATGTCCCTGCCAAACCACTGGGCTGCCCTCCCAACTAAGCAATGAAAGCCAGCAGTAGGATTGCAGGCAGGTTGTTTGTGTAAATGGAGAAGCTGCCCCTGTTCTGAAATTCACTGAAAAGCATATTTTCCTTTGGGAAATAATAACAGCTCCTTTACTCTTGTAAAAAATGAGGAGAGTTAAAATAAAGTGGCTCCCAAAGTCTCAGAACATTGCCTGAGCTTTTATCAGAGTAACAGGTAAACAACCAAAAACTGTCTTGCAGTTAAAGAGCAACCTGTTACCAGCCCACTTAAGTAACCCTTAAGAGCCTATAGGGGGCAAAGTAAATGAAACCTGAGTTTCTCTCTGCCCAGCAAGTACAGACCTTGATTACCCAGTACTGCGAATAAAAGGCTATTTAGATGTACCGTTAGAAAGTTGAAAAGTGTCTGCACACTCCTGTGGGGTGAGAGATAAACAGTGAGTTCCACTGCGAGAGAAGCAACATGATAGTCCTTTCTCCTAGGTGCCTAGTTATGGACACACTAGGGAGGTGGTGGTTGTTGTTGTTATGTGCCATCGAGTCAACTATGACTCATAGTGACCCTATGCACAACAGCTCTAAGCCTTGCTCTATCCTGAGCCAATATCACTGTCTCAGACACACTTACCTCCATTACTCCAGTCACTGAGTCACTCCATCTCATCTGGGGTCTTCCTTTCCTGCTCTTGTCCCTCCACCCTTCCAAGGATGAAATTCTTCTCCAAGATAGATATGAAAATATAAACTTTTCTAGATATTGAGCAAAACCCAGCTAGATTGCCTTTTTTTTTTAAAGGGAACTCTGGTGGCTTAATGGTATGAAGGTGTGCTGCAACCCAGAAAGCATGCTGTTTGAATCTACCAGCTGCTCCATGAGAGAAGGGTGTGCAATCTCCTGTGCAACTAACTGCCATGGAAAATCCATGAGAGAGTCAGCTATGTGTCGGTTCTGACTCAACGGCCCACAAATAGAAGCATAATTTTAGGGAAAAGAAAATATTACTTAGGAGAGAAAACTGGTTGTGAAAAGGAGGTAACATCACACAAATATAACAGTAGTGCTTCTTCTCAAATGATGGTCCAAGTGACTCTTTCTTTAGAATTACCTGGCAATATATTAAGGATAAAATGCTTAGACGTCACCCAAAGCCTACTAAACTCATATCTCTTGAATGGACCTAGGGACTCACATTTATTTATTTATTTTTGAGTGGACATTAACGAATTATATTAGGTTTTCATTCATTCATTCATTGGCATTTTGTTTCATAACACTGATGAATGTGTTGTTGTTGTTGTTATGTGCTGTCAAGTTGCCTGTGACTCATTGCGACCTTATGTAAATAGCCCTGGACCCTGCTCTATACTGTGGCAACCTCACCCCGTCACTGAATCAATCCATCTAATAGAGGGTCTTCCTCTCCTGCGCTGTCCCTCCACTCTCCCAAGCATGACGTCCTTCTCCAAGGATTAATCCCTCCTTGCAACATGTCCAAAGTATGTCAGATGGAGCTTCACAAACCTTGCCTCCAAGGAGCAGCCTGACTTCACCTTCACCAGGACAAATCTGTTTGTTTCCTTAGCAGTCCAGAGTATATTCAAAACTTTTCTCCAACACCAAAGCTCAAAGGTATCAATTCCCCTTCTATCCTCCCTAGTAATTGTCTGATGCATAACAAGGGATTGCAAAGACCATGGCCTGTATCATACGCACCTTAGTCTCCAGAGTAAAGCCATTGTTCTTCAGTACTTTGGAGAGGTCCCTAACAGCAGACTTTCCCATCGCAATATGTCTTTTAATTACCTGTCTGCTAGTGCAAAGGGTGTTGACTGTGGAGACAAGCAAACTAAAGCTGTGAACAATCTTAATCTCTTCACCATCCATCCTGATGCTGCCAATTGGTCCAGAGGTGAGAATCTTTGTCTTCTTTTTTTTTCTTAATTAGTTTTAATGAACATTTACAGAGACTTTGGGTTTTCATTGAGAATCTTTGTCTTCTTGATGTTGAGTCTCAATCTATACTGAAGGCTGCTGTCCTTGACCCTCTGGCATCAAGTGTTTCAGGTCCTCCTCAGTTTCAGCAAGCAGGGTTGTGTCATCTGCATAACACAGATTGTTAATAGATCTTCCACCAATCCTGATGCCACACCTCTCCTCATAGAGCCCAGCCTCTCTGTTCTGCATACAGGTTGAAAAGTATGGAGATATATATGACACATCCCTAGCGTACACCCTTCCCAATTTTGAACCATGCAGTATTTCCTTGCTCTGTTCTGATGACTGCCTCTTGGTCCAAGTATAGGTTTCGTATTAGCACGATAACAATATGTCTTTTAATTTCCTGGCTGCTGGTGCCAAGGATGTTGATTATGGAGCCAGTTTAATAATTTCAATCTCTTCATCATCTATTGTGATGCTGCCAGTCGGCCCAGTGGTGAGAACCTTTGTTTTCTTTATATGGAGCCTCAATCCATACTGAAAGCTGCAGTCCCTGACCTTCCACAGCAAACACATCAGGTCTTCCTTAGTTTCAGCAAGTAGGGTTATGTCATCTGCATAATGCAGATTGTTCATGAGTCTTCCTCCAATCCTGATGCCACATTTCTCCTCATAGAGCCCAGCCTCCTGGATAATCTGTTCTGCATATAGATTGAAAACGTATGGAGATAAAACACATCCCTGACGTACACCCTTCCCAATGTTTTCTTCCCCTGTTCTGACAACTGCCTCCTGGTCCAAGTATAGGTTTCAAATTAGCAGGATCAAGTGTTCTGGAATTCCCATTCTTCCAGAGTTAGCCACAGTTTGCTGTGATCCACACAGTCAAACACCTTTGTATAATCAATGAAGCACAGATAGACATTCCTCTGGTACTCGCTGCTTTCAGCCAAGATACATCTAACATTTGCTACAATATCCCTAGTACCACAACCCTTTCTAAACCCAACCTGCACTTCTGGTAGTTCTCTGTTGATGTGCTGTTCCAGTCGTTTTTGGATAATTTTCAGCAGAATCTTGCTTGCATGTGATTTTAATGATTTTGTTCAATAATTTCCACACTCTGCCATTTCTTTGGAACGGGGAAAAAAAA